AGCTTCTCTAGCTGCTAGTAGCGATGCCCTTGTTGCTAGTAGCTTCTTTAGCTGCTAGTAGCGATGCCCTTGTTACTTGCCTTTGTTACTAGTAGCTTCTTTACTTGTAGCTTCTCGAGCTGCTGAGGTGTCCTGGATGTTTTAGCCAACCGCTGCTTGGCTCAGGGCACCAACGCGTGGACGGCGACAGATGCCTGTCAGCAAGCGAGGCGATGAAACTTTCAGTGCAAATTCCATTTGGCTCAGCCCATGGCCACTAGTAACAAGGGCATCACTACCAGTAGCAAGGGCATGACTACTAGTTAGTAGCTAGAAGCAAGCTACTAGTAACAAACATTACAATAGCATACAATAGCTACTTGTCCCATTGTAGATACCACTCACAAGAATGCTTTCAGTAAGAGTCGGCCTGTTCGTTTTGGACCACAAGAATGCGCACACGAGACAAACGAAAGCACTTGCTACAGCGCCTGCAGATGAGGATCACACTTGCTACACAGTGGACACGGCCGGAGCGGAGGGCTTCCTCCGGTTGCTGCCGGTCTACTTGGATCACGTGCTATTCCCCACTTTGAAGGTGCCGCCGGTTTCAGTAAACGCGGAAAAAAAGGGCCCCAAAAGGGCCCCCTGAGGCCACTTTGGTTTCTCGGGATCATGGTGGATTCGTTCCCAGCAGGGTTTGTGAATAACACAAAATGCTTCATCGCAGCATGCGAGATCAGAGCAGTTCCATGCGAGATCAGAGCAACAAACATGAACGTCTGTAGGACAGCGGCTTCGTCACTGAAGTGCATCACATCACTGGGGAGGACTCAACGGCTCGCGGCTGGCTCGCGGAGTGTATGGCGATCGCCAGGACCAGATTGAATAAAGTACAGTGGTTTCAGAGTAGATGGCACGATCCCCAAAGACATAAGAAGGCTTTGGACATGAGAAGGTGTTCACATTTCCTTGAAGTGCTTCTGAGCGCCCCATGTCTCAATACGTGTTTGATGTGAGACCAGCCGTCATGGTCGGAGTGGCTTGCTTGGGGGGGGGTTCATGGGACTGTTCGCAAGCACCGGCTTGCAAGTTGCTTAAACGGTGCCAGGGCGTCGATGCGGGAGTGGTCTACTGCGAGATGCAAGCAAGGCAGACGTCCGGATCTCCGATGATCTCCGATGAAACTTGCAAGGGATGGCCTCCAACCTAATAGCGATGGCCTCCAACCTAAGAGCAATAGCCTCCAACCTGAGAGCAATGGCCTCCAACCTAAGAGCAATGGCCTCCAACCTAGTAGCGATGATGGTTTTGCTTGTGCCAGCCAGTGACACAGTGATGGCAGCCAGTGAACTGTGATGCTTCTCACAGATTCCCCTGAGGTCACCAGTCCAAAGCCTTTGTAGCTGAGACTTCTAGGTCGCCCTAGAGAGCAGCTGTTCTTTCTTGTGATCAAAGTCATGCCCTAAACCCTAGCCAAGCTAAGAAACAGATGTGTTTGAAGAAGATTTTTTTGTATTCGTTCAAGACCCCTTCTATCTTTATATATATATATATATTCTATTACTTGTTATTTAAACAACAAGGTCTTATAACCGAGCTGCGCTCTCGCCCCCTTCATCCGCAGGGAGAATGAGGCTGGAGACATGTGCGACCGTGCCATGCGCCTGGCAGCCTATCCAGGCAGCCCAACAGATCACGCAACGCGAGTCGTTCGTGGGTGATTCGACTCATTCCACTCGGTCCACTCGCTGTGCCATTCTGATGTTCTGATGTTCTGTGCGTTCGCCCTGACGCACCAAGCATCTCGGTAAACCAATGTATAGTGGATTGAGAGGACCAGTAGATGGCACAGACCCCTAAGAGGTGGTTTATATGAACCCCCATGTAAAGGACATCGGTTTCGGTCTGTGCCATCTACTCTGAAACCACTGTAAACAAGAATCCCATGAGAATGAATTCTTCCAGGCCGCTGTGGCTACAAATCCGAGACCGGAGGACGCCTCAAGGCCGGCACGTTCGGCCCCTGACAAGTGCGGTTGGGCACCGAAAGTGCGGTTCCACCAGCTTGGCCGGACTTAAGTCATTGGTTTTGCATCTCATTGAGCATGTGCTCTTTCCACGCGAGACCTCGAGGAGTTACGCGAGTTGACCAACGCCACGGTGCGAGACTACCACAAGTCTTACTACAGGACCGACATCCGGCGCACAAGCCATCAGCAGCCCCATTCTAATTGAGATTACTACTAGGAACAAGAAGCTACTAGCAATAAGGGCATCGCTGCCAGCTCCTGGCATTACTAGGCACAAGAAGCTATATATCCTCATCCTTTCATGTAACCATATGCCCGGTTTTAAGCAAGAGAAACATGCTAAACTTTGGATGTGGATGGTTTGGCCAGTTGGTTGTGGTACCATATGGTTGATTCGAACTTGCTGGCACACCGGGGCTTTGCTTGTTGCAAGACACCGGGACTTGGAAATGGCTGCACAGGCCGGACAATTTTTGCGTGATTGTCACTGGACAGGCCTTGCCCTCAGAGCAACATAGAACATCATAGAGCAAATAAAACTCTTTAATCACAGGTGTTTCAGCTACATCAGGATCATGGGAGTTGTTCTGGCTTTGTCAGTGCCATTTGCTGGAAAGGGTGCCCTGCACTGCAGGTGCCATGGCTGGGGTTGTTGAAGGCCTGCGCACCCACTGTGGCCAGCATCAAGAAGAGCCACTTCAAAGGGCTTCCGGCCATGGAGAGGCGCTTGGAGCACGGAAGCAAAAGCCGACAGACACAGTTGTTGCAAAAGCCGCAAAAGAAAGTGATGGATCATGATGCATCCCATCTGAAGGAAGCATCTTGAAGTCAATGGCTATTGTCGCCGAACTCTTGACTTAGGACATCTTCGGGGCATCACATCGATACACTTCGGGGCTCAATCACTGGAGCTTACTAACATGTACTAACCTACTATCATCTACTATCCTCATCGCTACATCAGCGTGGAGGAGATCACAAGTATTCCGAGAATGGCCATGCGTTTTTTTCCACCACGGGTTCTGAGAACGTTCGCAGTCCGCTGGAAGTGTGGGGGTGGTAGTGGATGAAGGTATGACACGTCCGTTGCTTTATGGAGTTCTACATATATGTTTTGTTTCTCTCACTCGCACAAACACCTAGTGTTCTTTCACATTTGCTGCTAGATCAGTTTTGTCCATCGAGTTGGGGATTCATGCGGAATGTCGAGGCCCTTCTCCAGCGCTGTGCCTGGTGTTAGCCAGCAGCAGGAAGTGAGGTGAATGGGATGAATGTGGGGCGATGCTGGAGCTGCGCAGGTGTCAGTGAATCTGTATCTGTGGACCTCCGTGAACCGTGAACCTGCATCCAAGCAGCTGGATGACAAACCTGGAACTGTTCTACTTGATAAGCCGCCCGGTTAGTCAAAGACTGGAAAGATGGCCCAACAGTCATCAACCAGCCATATGATGTCATATGAGTTTAGTGATGTCCGTGTCAAGGGCTCCATGTGTGTGTGTGTGCCACGGTACTCAACTCACCGATTTGGCGGAGAGCACTGAAGTACTGAAGCCCTGTGACAAACGGGGCGTCAAAAGCCACGGTGTCCTTACCTATCCAGGATGACCTTTCCTGCAGAAGATGAAAGCACAGGAGCGATCTGCGAGCTTTGCTGGCACGGCCCAGGCGGGTCCGTGCCAAGTACCGGTCTTTCATGGCGTCGTTTGGGTGTAACCCGAGCACCGGAGGCTTGCGTCGTCTGTTGGTTTCGGGGTTTTGTTCGGGAGCGAACATCGCGTTTGGTGATGGTCTTGGAGAATGTGGTGAGGATGGTCTGACTTGGAGAATGTGGTCGCTTTGAAGGTCTTGCTGGCGTACCTATGTGCCTCGTCCTGATATCTTGGGATGTAAGCTTAGCGGATGATCAATGTAGGTGCCTCAGGTCACAAGGAACTTAAAAGGAACTGGCGCAGCAGTTGAAACAGTTGAGGGTACGTCGTACGTCTCCACCGCCCAAGCAACACGGATAAAACTCGAGAGGTGCCTAAGAATCACCAAGCTACAGAAATTGCAAGGCCGTGGTATTTACAGTGGTTTCAGAGTAGGTAGCACACACACAAAGATGTCTTTTATATATACATGTAGGGGTCCATCCAAACCACCTTTTGGGGATTGTGCCATCTACTCTGAAACCGCTGCTGGTGTATTTGCAGAGGACATCTTGAAGAAACCCTCCGATGTTTCTAAGACCCACTGACCCACTATGTGCGCGTGTGGAAATGGAAGGCCCGACATCGGCCAGACCCTTTGGCTCTGCCAACAGGGGGGGTGGGTTTTCCACGTCCATGGGTCATATGAGTGCAGTACGCTCAGATGTCGCCCTGAGGCGAGCATGGGCGAGGAGACATGTTTCATCCACAAGGATGACCCAGTTGTCAAGGATTTGTTCGCTACAAAACCCTGGGAAGTGGATGGCATGATGGCATGGTTCCAATTGTTCGGACCATTTTCCAGAAATCCTCATAATGTCAGACCAAACAGGTGGTGGTGGCTGTCCATTTCCCCACTTTCATGGAACGGTGAAATGCACTACTTCGTTCTTTGAAATGCATTTGGCCAAAACAGGGGCACGTGAAGAGACTCTCCGTCGACTCCTAAGGTGAAGATTCCATCTCACCGCTGCGGAAGGCACTGGTGGAGACCGTGCCACCGTTGTGCGGGAAGATCTCCGAAGGCCGCGGACGGAGATCGCAGCGGTGTGGACGGTGAGAACGTCGGACGAACCGGTGCGTCGGAGCGGTTTAGGGGGAGCGGTTGGGGGGTGGTGGGGGGTCTGAAGAAAGTCGGCAGAGGGAACGTCTCAACTCAGTAACTGGAGGCTAGGTAATGTGGTGGTGAAACGGTGCGTAACAGACACAGAGGCTTTGGGATGTTGGGGGTGTTTTTCTTCTGGCAGTCTATCGCCAAAAGACGCCATGGCTTTGGCAAAGGCTCACGGCTTGCCAAGTTTGCAAGCAGGTGGTTTTGACCCTCAGTTCGCCGGATGGGCATCAAACATCATCAAGCTGTTTTGATGGCTCTTAAAGCGGTCCAAGAATGATAGATCAAGGCCAGTATCAAGGCACTACATCACTACATCGGCTCACGAGTTTGCGCGAGGTTTGCACGAGTACAAGACTCAGCTCATTAACATCACCTTAAAGAGCTGCGACGTGGAACAGCTCCAGAAGAGAGACGTCACCTCTGAGGTGCAAGCAGCCTCTCGTTTGTATTCTTGATTGGGGAAAAAGGATCCAGCATAGTAGTAGCGTCCTTGCTCCTAGTAGCGATGCCAGGAGCCCCTAGTAGCGCCCTTGCTCCTAGCAGTATGGCCAGGAGCCCCTAGTAGCTTCTTGTTCCTACTAGCGAGGAATGAAAGGAAAGGATTTCTTTGGATCGGGACGTTCCCACTCAAATACTGTGATCGATCCCGGATGGTTTCTATTTTGATAGGGTTCCTATTTTGGACCTTCGCTGTTCCCTGCCTCCCAAGCCAAGTCAAAGGCGCTTTGTTGAAACAGGAGCTCCAAACTCTTGACCAGTTTGCACGACTACCAGCAGCAGCAAAATGGTTATAAGGTCTACTTGTAAGAAGGTGTTCTTTGCACTCAACCCTTGGACAAGCGATTCACCCAGTGATTCATCCATACTCATTTGGAGTCTCTCACCCTGCTTGCTCCCAGCGAGTCCTTTCCAAGGTCTTCAAGTGCACGGCGAAGGCAGAGGGCATCGACCTGCCGCGCTTGAAGAGTGCAAGTTGGTTCATGTTTAAACAAGCAGTCCACATCGGCGTTCACTTCCTTTTAAGGACCCTTTTTCTTGCAAAACAAGAGGTTCTGAGACATATATCTTGGGAATCGTTCGTGTTACAGAGGCTTTAGTGATCTGAAAGATGCCTTCCGTTGCGCGTATATGGATGGGAAGGTATATGGATGTTTAATGATGTTTATGCTTCATCAGTTTCACGCTTTCTGGGATGCGGATGGACATGGCATTTCTACCAAAAAAGAGGACACGCAGACGGACACCACCACGCATGTAGCCAATGTAGCCTGATCCAATGCAGGAGTTTGCCTCCACCAGTGCCAGTGGAGCCAGCGGAGCTTCGGTGAAAGCACGACTGGACGCGCCAGCCACACTGGAGAAGCTGCTGAGCTGGTCTGAGGAGAGGGCTGGGTCAGCCGGCATTGCCATGGATGGTTCGGTAGTCGGTAGATTAGTGATGGCCTCATCGAATATATATTTATATAATTTTATGTACCTTTATAATAGTATATATTAGTGTTTAGTATATAGTATTTACTGTATACAAGGATATATATATATATTAGTTAATTAATATTTATATATATATACATACGTGTGTGTATATGTATATGCTATATATTATAGTGCGTTTCGTATCAAGTGTTTGATGGAAACAAAGGAACACTTGTTGAACCAGACCAGAGAACAGGGCAAGGCCAATAGACAGAAGGCTAGGGACAAAAAGGCTCAGCTCTTCCTGGACATTGGCAATCAAGTCGCTGAAAAGGGACACAGCTGGGAAGCATGTCCCAGAGGGCTCCAATGCAAGTCCTGCAAGAAGCGCATTACCAAGCATTGCAAATATGAAGAGTTGATCCGCATCAAGGCTGAAGAGTGTGAAGTGGCCAGTGAAATGCCCATCAAAGGAGGCAACGACGCAGTGCAGCTGACGAAGGCCGGATTGCTGCAAAGCCTCCTGAACAAGGAGCTCCCGGGGATGGCACCACACAACTTTGTCCTCCAGACAAACTACTTGGTGTGCCACAGCTGCAATGCTCGGTCCCTGCGACATGCTTCTCGGGACAAGCTGATCAGCCTGGCACAGGCCCCTTGCTGGGACCAAGTCTGGACACCCGGACCGCAATGGGAGGGCCATGCAAGTCACATGATGTGGAGAAAGGGAGGCAAGCTCTACTGCAATGTCTGCAAGGCGCATGGCATGCCGGATGGAAATGGCTTCAGGGCAAGCAGAAGCCTCAAGAAACCATGCGGACAGCCTATGCAGCAGACGACTTTGCCTACATGTTTCCGGGCCAAAACGGCCAACGGTTGAGAGCAGTCGGAAAAGACACGAAGAAAAAGAAATATAGTTTATATGTATGTCATACGGATGTATTATTTGTGCTTTCTTTCCGCAAAGAATCCCACCATGCTGCAGTCAATCTCGAAGAGGCAAATAGAAATCCCGCCGATCAAATAGGAACCGATCTGCAAAGCTGCTGATAGGCAAACCGGCCAGGGCGCTTCTAACCCATGATCGTCACGAGGCGGCATCCATACAAAGTACCAGATGTGACTGATGTAATCACTGAATTACTGGCAACTGAATCACAGAAGCAGGACCCCCGCATAGCATTCACCACTTTTGGGCAATGACCAACCAGCAATGGACTGGATGTTCCTTCAAACCCGCCTTTGCAGGAGAAGTGGGCCACGCTCTGCCAATGCTTCCTGTGCGCACCCGGCGTCACCGTGGTGGGTTGTCCCTCCAAGGCCACAGGCGAAGAGATTCAAGCGGAAGATGCAGCCCGCCTTGAACAGCAAAAGAAGCTTGGCGGCCGTGTCGGCTGTGCAATCAGAGAGCCAAAAAGACAGAAATCGAGCTTTCCAGTCAATGTTCTTCTACAGCGCGAGGAGAGGCTGACCTTTGATGTCCTTGCTTTTGATAGAGCAAATGAGGAAAACCCTCGGCGAGGAGGGCATGAAGAAGGCTGGTGAAGAGCTCGCAGCCGCGGAGGATGAGAACGAAGTTGAAACCCCGGAGGAAGTCTCGGCACAGTTTCAGGTGCCAGATGTGAGTCGAGTTCAGCTCATCGCAGCTTGGCGCAAGGAATCACAAGAGCACCGCACATCATGACCTGTCCCATTGTGCTGGAGTGGTTGAAGCGAAAGCAGCATGATACACCCGGGAAGATTAACATGGAACCTGAGAATGGACCTTTGGAAGACTATTCTCCTCTACAACCCCGACGTGGTTTTCAGGTTCCATATTGGGTTTCTTCCAGGGTGTATTGTATTTCTAGGGGCATCACCGTGGAAACTCCACCAGGACCGTTCTCGCTTCTCTTGACATCTCATCTCATCGAGGATGTGTCCACAGTCACGGTGAAGAACGGTGTGCCAAGCGCAGTCTTTGGGAAGGACTCCACGCGACTCAAGGAGTCGGTGCTGACGATGCTGACGAGCGAGGTGGATGGTGCCGAGTGTGGGCTGGTGGTGGTTGGTCCCCCAAATAGATACTGGCACGGTTTCCAAGACATATTTGAGGGTTGACTTACTTTTCTACATCTACTTGGATGTATGTTCTAAAAAGTTCGCCGCAAGGGGGGGGGTTGTTGGGGGGTCGAACCTTCCAGGAGGCCGTTGCCTGGGAAGACTCCCTATTCCAATACACATCCTGTGGTCCTGTGGGCGGTGGGATGGTGGTGTGGCTGCATGCTCCATTCAGGGTGTGTGGTTGGATTCTTTGGGCCTCAAAGCTTTCGAAGTGAAAGGAACTGCTGGGCCTTTCGTGAGAAGCCAGGAGCAGCACATGAAGGGTCTACTGTAGGGTGTCCAAACCACTGGCAGCAGCTGGGCCATGCTTCCCAGGAGGTGGTTGCAAAAGCTGCAGCGCTGGGAATGCCTGGATTGAACTTTCATTTCGACCACGTGGCAGGCTGGAAGGGAAACGAGTTCTGGCCGAGTTGCAGTTTTTGCGTATTGAGATGCTCAGGTGCTCAGTTCATCTCGTGCCACTTGATGGTCCCTTTGACGTCCCTGACGATGCGGCAGCTGGAGATTCGGGCTGCCGGTTATGGGGTCATGCACTGCAGTGTCATAACCATGTTGCTTTAGATTCCTATGGTCCTATGCTTTTTGTTCTTTGGCTGACAAGCCTTTGTTTGGACTTTGCGCTGTACTGGTGGTGCACTCAACACTTTCAGGAGCTTTATTCTACGTGTTTTTTTTCATATTTACCCGACATCCGTTTCATGCTTTAACAAAGTCCCTCACGACATATTAGTACTATTATAACGTTTCTTCTGGCGGTCTCTGACGCGGCGTCCCGCTGCTTCGAACGCTCCCCACTTCGATGAAGAACGTGTGTCGCGCGTCGGACGGCGCAGACTCGCGGACTCGCGGACTGCGCGGGTCGGGTCGAGGAGCTCATGCCATTGTGGTGCGATACGGCCTTTGAACTGCCCATGGTCTCCAGCCCATTGGGAGAGGCACTTGCTCCGTCCAGGGAGAAAAATAGGCGTCCGATCGCGAACGGTTCGTAGCGATGCCCTTTGCTCCGTTCGTAGCTTCTTGTTCCTATATAGTTAGTAAGGCTGAGCGCCGAACGTAGTGTGTTTGCTCGTAGACTGTTCCGGTTTCTCCGTGTTTTGCCCTTTTGTTGCGAGGTTCGAAAACAACATAAAACAACGAACTCTGCGCATGTTCTCACGCCCGCGCGCTTTCACAAGGCTCTGAGTCACGAGGCGGTCGTTCAATTGTTGACAGCCTCCTGGCGAAGAAGAACGACGGGGGCACGACGTGTCCGTCACCGGTTGCACTTTGAATCCCAACAGGTGACCCATGGTGACCCTGTTTGGTGCACATAAGTGTTCCACAGATGTAGCGAGGAACATGAGTTGTGAGTCCGTGGAGGGGCTGGTGATGTGGAAGAAGCAGGGAAGGCTTTAGTATGCTTTAGTTGCTTCTGGACGCAGCCCTTTGATGAAATGGAAGCTTTTTGCCTTCCACTTCGAACTCACTGTATTTGATCATTTGGCAGTGTTCAACATCCCTCACCTGTCCACCAGCCATGTTTGCAGTCAACGGGCCATCCCTTCGGGTCATCTTTTTGAACGTGGAGGTGACACGCAGCGCAGCTTGCAAACTGAGCTTCCGGGAAACCCGGAAGCAGGGAGACGTTTAAATCCTCCCCATGATACAGTAAATGGAAGTGGAAAACACTCCAATTCGGCACCCAGATCTTTTTTGGCTGAGGTCATTTTGTGTCAATAGGGATGAGGTCCCAGTATAGTTGCTATATAGGTACATGCCATATACATTTGGCTCAAGTGCCCAACCAGGTAAAAAGGAGCTTTAGCGCGCGAGCTTCATGTTGAACTAAGGGCTAGAACGGGGCCAGGGCACACCTTTCCATCCGTTCGCAGGTTATCAGCCGTAGCCGGACTCTCTTGAGCTGGATACGAGCTGCGGCCTTACACAACACCATCTAAACGCACACGCATCGGATAGATCGGTTACCCTCAGTCACTGAGGATGGAACAATCCGACGCTAGCACTGCATCCTTTGGAGCAGCTGCTGCGGCCGCAGATCGGATGAGTGCATCCCACAACTCTAGTCCAGGCACGATCGAGGCGGAGACCCTGACAGTGGTGAGAGAAGGTGCGACAGGTAGAGCACGAAGTCGTTCCCCGTCAGCGCATTCGACACCACCGGGAGGGACACCAAGATCAGGCCGTAGCCCTAGGGAGACGAGGAGGAGGACTGACACCGGAGCTGTGAGAGTGCTAGCATTGGAGGATGGATCAACTGTACCAGTGCCGTCGGACAGCGAAGCTGGAGATGGAGCAAGGGCAAGCACTGACAACCTACAGCTAGCACAGGCCGATGGGGACCTGAATGCGAAGTGTGCGCAACTACTTGCCGAAGTGCATGTGTTGAACCACCAAAACGCATGGATGGTCGAATGTGAGCAGAGACAGAACCAGATTATACAACACGAGACCGAAGTCCACGAAGTAGTGATGGCACACCTCGAGGAATGTTATGTCGAAGGATATGGGAATCAACGAAGAATCTCCCAACTTACAGAATCCAGAGACTGTTTGCTCTCGGCAGCACACGATTTGCAATACCAGATTGACACTGATCGTGTGGCGATGCGGGATCGTCTCACCCAATTAGGGGAGCACGCTGATCGCAACAGCGCAGAGATGGTTAGCCAAGTTGTGAACATCGGCACGGAAGAGATCCAGGCTATATCGGCGCAAAGAGATCGAGCCGTAACCGAGGTCATGACTGCAGTCGCAGATGCTGAGAACATTAGGGATCTGTATAGACAGGAGTTAGTGGGACTACAAAGACAGAGTGTCAGGAACAAACACGAATATGCTGAGGAGATGAAGATGAAGGAAGCAATGTATGCAAGCAAGATCAAATGGTTATCAGAAGAGAATGAAGAGCTCAGCAACCGATCTTATAATCAGGACAATTTCATCATGACCATCAGGGAGCAATTGAAGAGGGCGAACGAGGAGTTGACGCAGGCGAGGATTCAAGGATCCGATCGACTGTCTCAACCATCCAACGTCGAACTCAAGAAAGCTGAAGTCAAGATGAACATGTTGGAAGAAGACATCCTACGTAAAGAGAGAATGTTGAATCGTCTTCAGGAAGAATTGATCGAATCAAGTGCAAGTGAAGCACAATTGAAAGTCGCACTGACGTTGAAACCATCAGACATGGGATCAGGACCCAATGTGGAGAATGAGATGATGACCAAGCTTAGAGCGGAACTTGGACGTACCGAGAAGTCATTAAGGTCCGAGGAGAAGGAGGCAATGGAATATTATGAAGGTATGATGCAGAACCAACAGGACATGATGGAATACGAAGCGCATGCAGCACGGCTCAGAGATGAGAGGAATAAGTACCGGAGGAGGTACGAAGAGGAGCGCTTGAATGCAGAGAATGCAGCCGCAACCGAACATGGTGCCGCTTCATCCTCTAGCTCGGGTGGCTCCAAAATATCTCGGAAGGAACACGAGAAGATCAACATCCCTGCTTGGCCCAAGATACACGACTTGGAGGTTTGGAAATCCCAGGTTGTAGCGGCAGTCGTGACGGCATCGGGCGACGAAAGACAGGAAGATTGGATCCAGTGGCTCTCGGATGCCTTCAGATCACCATATGACCCATTTCTACTCGAGACATCAGGCGAAGCAAGATTCGCTAGCATAGACGCTAAGCTAGGTATCACCCTACATACGATTATCCACGCAGCAGGTGAGAGATCTCATGATGTACAATTGAAGGTGAGACAGATGATGCAGAGACGTGCGAGAGGCACAACTCCTGGAATGGTCAAAGGACGAGAGATGTTAGCGTTGATCGTCGACAGCTTCCGGAGTGCCGACAACGTTGATGTGATGTATGCATCCAAGCACTTATTCGATCTAAAGTTCCCTGGGGATAATCAACTATCCAGATTCCTTGGACAGTGGGATGAGATCCTATCAGGTATGGATGCGGATGACATGCTTCCTGACAAAGCACTCCGCAACCTGCTTTGGGATAAGATTAAGGATTCCAAAGTCATGGCGTTAGACTTGTCCGTATACGACAACATGTTGGATAAGGATCCGGATAAGACCTACCAGAAGTTACGAGAGATCATGGCGAAGTGGATACGGAAATCGATCGAGACCACGAACAAGAAGGAAAGGGAAAAGGCCTTTGGGAACCTCGTGAAAGCCACACCAGCGGCGGAGAAGAAGGACCCTAAGGCGAAACCCAAGAATACCAAGGCCGATCCACCGAAGGACGCCGCTCCAGTGCTTCCTCAGGCTAATCCGAAGGACCACAATAAGAAGGACAAGAAGCAGGATCGTGGGAGATCCACCACGAAGAGCCCAAAGGGAGATCGTGGCAGGTCAGCGACTCCAGCAGATACGTCCAAGATAGGATGCGCCTTCCACTTCCATGGGAAAAACGGATGTTCTAGAGGAGACAAATGCAAGTTTAGTCACCAAGAGAAGCACAAAAGTTCTGCTAAGAAACCAGAAAGCCTCAAGGGTGACAGATCAAAGAGTCCTGGTGGCAGGAGCACTAGCCCTAAGCCAATGAAGGATCAGGTCTGTTGGAATTGGCAGAAAGGATCGTGCAAGTTCGGGGACAAATGTCGACGTCAACATCACGCTGCTCCCGCTACGAAACAAGAGGCTAAAGGCAAAGCCAAGCCCAAGCCGGCTGCGCCAGCCTTCATGCTTTGCGGAGACATCGAGAGTGATGACGAGGACATGCAACCTGCACTTCCCAACGTACGACGAGGTGAGTTGGCGCTTCGCTTTAAAGTCAGATTCGATGACCAGGCGAATGTGACCACGTTCCCCTGTGATCCTGGTAACGAGCTAAACACCCGTCCCCTCAGGAAGAAGAAGAGTGAGGTACAGAAGGTGGATACCGAGCTCATTTCATCGTTGAGAGCCCTCAGAGTGAACAATATAGCTGCGCGAGTAGCACATGCCAAAGGTAAGATGATGGAGCTATTTTATGCTGAGCACATTGCCAAGGCATGGATACAAATCACTCAAGATGAAGGAATCGAGGTGAACGTCGACCTGTCTGACTTCAACACCAGCGAGGTAGTAAGGAAGGATTCTGTCAACTACACGATACCGGGAGACACGATGTTCATGGCGGTGGAGAGGTATGATGGACCACCGATACGCTTCATCATGGACACGGGATGTGGACATGACTTGATCTCAAGAGAGAAAGTCAATGCCATGGGCCTTACCACCAAGGAAGGACCCAAATCCGTGAGCTTCATGACGGCGAATGGTGTAACTAGTACATCAGAGATGGTGGACATCAATGTGGACGAGCTACCCATGAAGTCCGAGGCACACGTGTTGGAGAGCACACCATCAGTCTTTTCCATCGGGAAACGATGCATGGAACAAGGGTACTCATTCATATGGCCGGCGAACCAATTGCCATACCTCATCGACCAGAACGCGAACAAGATTCCGCTATCGGTGCATGACAACATACCCTACATCAAGGTGAACGATGATGACGGGAGATGTTTACCAAGACCAGATGGCTTGGCTACGATACTTCATCGCATACTGTCAGGTGTGGAGCGTGAAGACGAAGCCACAGCAGGTCAGGAGACACAACAAGAGGAACCTCCGTCCAAGAAACCACGGAGACGGAGGAGAAAGAAGAAGGATAACAAGAGAGATCGGGGTGATGAATCTGATATCAATCCAGCCGTCGTAGGTGACGAAGGAGAACCAGAGGAACACGGTGATGACGGATATTCTCCTGAAGAGGGATATGACGGGGAAGACCCGAGAATCGATCGTGATCTCGATGGCCAACCTGAAGAAGCCGAAGACGACGAACATGGAGGCGATGCGGATTCTGAACGAGAGGAGAGTGACATTGGTGAAGATGAAGAGGGACTATTGGAAGTCGATGTGGTTGACGGTGAAGCCAGACTATCAAAACCAGGAGTGCTGAAGAACGAGGCGAAATCCATATTGCACTTGATGACGCACCGATACAAGAACCCATACTGCAAGTCATGTGTGAGAGCAAAGATGAAGCACTATAAGACTAGCAAGGGAGCTTTCAAACGGAAATTGAAGGCATTCGGTGACCTTATCACTTTCGATCTCATGAACACTCAGAAGATGGCAAGAGATGGGATCATGCCGGATAAGGATGTATTGGTGATTCGAGATCGATTCACTGGTG